CTGCTCTCTGCACTCAGGACTGGGGGGCTCCAGTCTTGTACAGGAGCCCAGGGGCACGCAAGTAAACGCACACAAATCCCAGGGTTCCCCATAGTTTCCCATACGTTCTGGGTGTTCGCCTTCCCCCCCCCCATTTCCCATATCTTCCCATCTCTTCGTGGGAGTCGACGATTCATTGTGTCTGTGTGTTTCTTTCCCTCCTGATATTGCAAGGGCCAGGGCCTCAGATTCTCAAACTTCCAACGCGTTCCCGCGCGCCCCCCGGTCTGCCTCGCGTGACTTTTCCAAGTGTCAAGGGGCCCCAAGACGGGCCCAGAGGGGCCCGAGAAGCGCCCGAGAGGGTCCAAGAGGCCTCCGAGAGACCCCAAGCGCGCTCCAAGACGCCCAAGATGGTCCCAAGACGGCCCAAGAAGCCCAAAGAAGCGCCAGGAGCGCTCCAAGAGGGCCCCAAGAGGGCCCGAAGAGGCAACAATCACTGATGTTCTTCATGTTCTTCGTTGCGCTTCGCGCTTTCACGTTTTCGGGCACCCCGGCGCCCCAAGCGCAAAAGGGCCCCCGAGACCGACCCAAGACAGCCCAAGACGGTCTGGGAGGGTCCCAAAACGGCCCAAGAAACACCCAATATCACCCAAGAGGGCCCCTAGACGGCCCCGAAAGGGGCCCCAGAGGGGGAGCGCGAACCGACAATTCGAGCTTTCCGCACCGAGAAGCCCCCTGGATGCCCGAAGGTCCCCAAGAGGCCTCCAAACGGCCCCCAAAAGGCCTCAAAACTGCCGCCAAGAGGCCCTAGGGAGGCCTCCAGCGATACCCAAATGAACAACCCAGGCACAGTGGCGGGATGGGCCGAAGGCCACTCGATCCGCCGCCCCCTGTCGATTCATCACAAGGGTGCCTGGCGTGCCGAATCCTCTCCGTTTTGGTTTTGGTTCTTTTTCCGAAAGAACTCCCCCTGGGGCTTCGGCCCGTCCCGCCGGCCACCCGGAAAGGACCTCAATTGCACAGTTTGTCCTCCAAGACGGCTCAAGATGGCGCCAAGATGGCCACGTTGGTCCAAGATGGCCTCCAAGATGGTCCAAGACGGCCTCCAAGACGGCCCAAGAGAGTCCAAGACGGCCCAAGAGGTGTTTGAAGGATTTTGGGATTCGCTTCTTCTCGGCTTTCAGACGACTCAAGACGGCCCAAGAGGCCCCCAAGATCGCCCCCACAGCGCCCAAGAGGCCTCCAAGATGGCCTCAGGACTGCCCAAGAGGCACCCAAGACGGCCTCAAGGGCACAAAGACGACCCAAGAGGCCTCGAAGACGCCCAAGATGGCCTCTAAGACGGCCCTGGAGCGCCCCAAGAGGGCCCAAGTCGGCCCAGAAAGGCCCCACAAACGGCTTCCGACGGCGTCAGACGGGCCAGGAGCCCACCAAGATGGCCGAAGTTGGCTCGAAGCTGACCCAAGACGGCCCAAGAGGCCTCCAAGAGGGCCTCCAGGAAGGCCAGACAAGGCCAAAAACACTTATGTTTCTGCTTCAAGGATTTTGGCATTTGCTTCGTTTCGGCCTTCCGACGGCCCGATACGGCCCAAGAGCCGCCAAAGATCGCCCAAAGATCGCCCAAGAGGCCTCCAAGATGGCCCCAGAAAGGCCCAAGAGGCCCCCAAGACAGCCCCAAGAGGGCCCCAAAACGGCCCAGGAGGCCTCGAAGACGCCCAAGATGGCCTCCAAGACGGCCCTGGAGCGCCCCGAGAGGGCCCCAAATCGGCTCAGAGAGGCCACCCAAACGGCTTCCGACGGCGTCAGACGGACCAAGAGCCCACCAAGACGGCCGAACATGGCACTAAGATTGCCCAAGACGGCCCAAGAGGCCTCCAAGAGGGCCTCCAGGAAGGCCCGGAAATGCCCAAATCATTGATTTCCGATGAGTTTTTGAAGGATTTTGGCATTTGCTTCGTTTCGGCCTTTCGACGGCCCGAGATGGCCCAAGTGCACCCAAAGATCGCCCAAGATGCCCAAGACACGGCCCCAAGAGGCCCCCAAGACGGCCCAAGAGGCCTCCAAGACGCTCAAGATGGCCTCCAAGACGGCCCAAGAGCCCTCCAAGACGTCCTCCAAGAAGGCCTGAAAGGGTCAAAATGGCCTCCAGGCGGCCAAGATGACCTTCAAGATGCCCACGTGGTCCCCGAAGGCTTTCCAAACCGATTCGGGGAACACATGGTCCGATAGTTTGGCAGGTCTGGCCTCAACGTTCGGCCACATAGGCGCTTCCAAAAAAGCAGGAGGCGGCGGTGATTCGCTGTAGGCGTCTTCGATAGTTCGGCATGTTTCAATTCGGCCTGGTGCTTTAGTTAAGCCTGGTTGCTGCTGGGCCTGGCCTGATTCCAGCTGCGCGAGCGTCATGCTAGGCCTGGTTTAGTTAGGCCCTCATTGGTTCGGCTTGGTGCTTTAGTTAGGCGTGGTAATAGCTGGACCTGGCCAGATTCCAGCAGCGTGGGCAGTTCGTTAGGCCCATTCATTAAGTAGGCCCGATTCTTTATTTAGGCCTGGTGGTAGCTGGGCCTGGCCTGGTTTCAGCTGCGCGAGCATTTAGTGAGTCCAAGGTTTATTCGGCCTGGTGCTTTAGTCAGGCCTGGTCGTAGCTGGACCTGTCCAGATCACAGCTGCGCGTGCATCTAATTCGGCCGATTCTAGTTATGCATATTTTAGCCAGGCCTGCTTTAGTCAGGTCTGGTTGTAGATGGGCTTGGCCTGATTCCAACTGTGCGAGCATTTCGTAAGGCCTATTGTAGTAAGGCCTGGTGCTTATTTCGGCCTGGATGTAACTGGACCTGGCCATATTCCAGCTGCGCGAACATTTGGTTAGCCCTGTTATAGTTCGGCCTCTTTTAGTTCGGCCGGGTGCTGTAGTAAGGCTAAGGCCTGGTGCTTTAGTCAGGCCTGGATGTAGCTGGACCTGGCCTGATTCCAACTGCGCGAGCATTTCGTAAGGCCTATTGTAGTAAGGCCTGGTGCTTATTTCGGCCTGGATGTAACTGGACCTGGCCATATTCCAGCTGCGCGAACAATTGTTTAGCCCTGTCACAGTTCGACCTCTTTTAGTTCGGCCTGGTGCTGTAGTAAGGCTAAGGCCTGGTGCTTTACTCAGGCCTGGATGTAGCTGGACCTAGCCTGATTCCAGCTGCACGCGCACTTAGTTAGTCCTGTTTAATTAGACCTGGTGCTTTAGTTGGGTCTGGTTGTAGCTGGACTGACCCTGATTCCAGCTGCGCGAGCATTCAAGTGGGCCAATCGTAGTTCGGCGTATTTGAGTCCAGCCTGGTGCTTTAATTCGGCCCGGGTCCGATTTTAGCTGCGCGAGCATTAAGTTCGGCCTGTGTTTGTTAGGCAGTTTTTAGTTAGGCCTGGCGTTTTAGTTAAATCTGGATGTAGCTGGGCCCAGCCTGATCCCAACTGCGCGGGCATTTAGTCAGGCCTCAAACTCCGCCTTCGCCGTAGTGGGCTCACTCGTCTGGGTGACAAGTTCGACCTGCAAATTGTCCACTTGTGTCTGGAGGCCGGTGACTTCTGTAGTTTTCGTAGCCTGTCGACCGAGCGCCCTCTGCATAAGATCATCTGGTGCCCGGGATGTCTGCTCCTGCCCCTCGCAACTTGGCTGCTCACGCTTCGCAGCGAGAAGTAGCTCACTATCATCTCCAAGTCCGAGCAGGTTGAGTGCATTGAGGGCTTTGCGAGCACGACCGACAGCATCAACTTCACATGCACTTGGGTCCTGAAAAGACTCTCGTTCCCTCCGCGATGTTCTTGGTAAGTGGCCTATGCGAGACCGAGACGATGTTTCAAAATGGTGTCGCCCCTGATGGGTCGGGTTGGCCTTGCCGACCTCGTCCGTTCATGTAGCACATGCCGTGGGAGCCCAAACTCCGAGCACAGCCACACCGTCTTATAGCTAGCAACACACAGCCAACGAGAGACTCTGCCACCAGAATCAGCTTGCCACGTCCGCGTGCTTGGCCTGACAGAGGCTCACGCTACCCGTGACACGAACGGAGACTTTGCGCAGCACCGATCCGAAGGAAATTTGTGGCCCTCGATCGTTGCCTTTTCTTGCGCAGGCCAGGTGGCGCACGCACGCGCCTGTAACTTCAGCAAGGGCATGGCTACCTGAGCAAGCCGTGCCTGAGTACATCCAGCTGGGGGTTGGCGCAGCCAGCAGAGGGAGAGCGAGGAAATACGAGGTGATGGTGGAGCCAGAATCGACAGAGGCTGCAGGAGGGGGACCACGTCGTGGTGGCGCTCGGCTGCCACTTCCGCCACCAGCGCCAGCGATCTTTGCCTCTGCAACCTCCCGTGCCAGGCTGGTAAACGAGATCGCCCTGTTCTTACAGACTTCGGTTGGCCTCCGTCGGTGAATCCACCCACGCCGACCGCACTGCAACATTTGAAACAGACCGCCCAGTCAAGACAGGAGATCCGAGTTGAGCGATAATCAAGAATGGGTATGACGCGAGATGGCGTAGCGACCTGACGCGCCGGCTTACGCGGGCCGCCAGCGCGGCACGCCACATTGGACGCGAGGGCGCTTACGCGCGACCTTGCGCGGGCAGTTTGCGCGCCAATGTCGGCGCAGAAGACCCATTGCGTCGCTCGCTTAAAAAGGGGGAGGATGAGGAGGAGGAGGAGGAGGAGGAGGAACAGAAGGAGGATGAGGAGGAGGATGAGGAGAAGGAGGGGGATGGGAAGGAGGAGAGGGATGATGATGATGATGATGATGATGATGATGATGACGAGGAGGAGGAGGAGGAGGAGGAGGAGGAGGATGCCTCCCGCCGCCGCTGCCGAGGCCAGAGGACGCCTTTTATCGGGGCGCCGCGCGCCCGAGCAAGCTTCAAGGAAGGTGCACCGGCAAAGATGATTGGACAGCGGGCGGAGGCGTGGCCGACGACCAGCTGCACAAACACTGAGTCGAGGGTACAAACATACGCGCGAGGGAGGGAGGGCTGGGAGCGCAACAAAGAGACCTCAAATGGCCATGGAATGGCAAAGGAATGCCGCACAGATCCATGGCCCTGACATGCGGCCTCTCCTGCTGTGACGTCTGGCAATCTACAACGAAGTAGTGGGCATGCCTCCCGCCGCCGCTGCCGAGGCCAGAGGACGCCTTTTATCGGGGCGCCGCGCGCCCGAGCAAGCTTCAAGGAAGGTGCACCGGCAAAGATGATTGGACAGCGGGCGGAGGCGTGGCCGACGACCAGCTGCACAAACACTGAGTCGAGGGTGCAAACATACGCAAAACTGCCAAACATTCCTTGGTCATCTCTATACAAAGCTGAATTATTCACCGTCAAACGAAAAGACTGGTCAATGCAATTGTCTTAGAACTGCCATGAGCGTGATCGAGGCAACGAGCAAGGGCCTTGCACAAAGCTGGAGGGTACTGCTGAGCGGCTTTTGTCTTAAAGCCGCCTCCTTGTGCGAGGCCATGGATTGATGTGTGCTTCTTCGCTGTGCGAGAGCACAGCTTGCCATGACATTCACGGGCAACAGAATGCAGAGACACGCGGTCCCCTAAAATTCTGGTGGGCTTCTTCCAGGGTGTCCCCCATTGGCGCATGTCAGTATACACGAAGTGGCTCGTACTCCATGCGGCGGCTTTTTTGAGACGAGGCAGCAGCCAGAGACGCGAACGTGCAGGGTTCTCCAGCGCCACCGGGCGCTGGAGCAGGTGCATCAGCTCGAAAATACTGCAACAGAAACCGGCAAGAACATTACCAATTCGAATGGCCTGCACATCGGCAGGATGAGTGACCTCAGGGAGCCCCATCAGATGCTGGTCAGAGCGGAGCCGCGACGGGAGCTGTGGTCCAGCTTGACCTAGCTCTCGCAGCGGCCCCGTGTCCCTGGCCCTCGTCCACGTCTGGCACGGCGTCCCCATGAACACTCCCCAGACCTGTCCGGCCAAGAGCCAGCCTCTCACGAGCTTCTGGGCCCTCCTTGCCGAAAGGTCCCAGGCTGGCCCACGGCAGATATCCCACTCGAGCACGGCGAAGCCCCTCTCACGCAGCGCCCGCGAGAGCCCGCCATGCCCGCTGAACAGCTCTAGAAAGACCTGCGGCTGGACCAGGCGGGCACCCCGGCTGGCCAAGGCGCGAGCGAAGGCCTCGCGAGGCAAGTCGGCAGCTGTGTCGCCGCCTCGACCGCCCTCGCGCGGACGCCTGGGGACAGCCGCTGCAGCTGCTCGCCCCCGCGCCCCTCCTTCTGGTAACGCCTCACGCTGGAGTCGCAATGCCAACGACCTCTCAGCTTGATCTCCTGCAGCGTCCGCAGCTGGGACGCTCGGTCGTGGCTGGGCCCGCTGTGCCTCAGCATGTACAGCTCCGGGCCCAGAGCCTGGGCCCCTGCGCGTCCTGCCGCTTCCCGAAACTGGACCACCAGGTCGGCGTGCCGGAAGGCGAACAGCGGCTCCCCGGCCGGCGTCTCCCTTTTGAGGTAGGCGAGCACGGGCACGAGGAAACGGAACAGCGGCTGATCGAACACCACGGTCTCGTCGAACTCTCTTGTCTTGCTGCTGATCTCCTCCTCGCTTGGGCGCAGCACGATCGCCCAATTTGCCACGCGGGTCCCTGGCACAGGCGGCACGAGCATCTCGGCGGTGACCCGCTGCAGCTCGCTGGGGCGCAGGTAGCAGCGGAAGGTGATGATCGTCCAAGCCGCCATCGCCCAGAAGCCGGTCAGCAGCAGCTCCAGCGCGATCAGCGCGACGACCTCCCATGGCAGCGGCAGCCGAGCACGCCCAGGGGCGAGCCGCTTCCAGCCCTTCAAGGCCTGCGCCGAGCGCGGAAGGGAGAGCCCTCCCGACTTCGCGAACTGCGGCCGGAAATACTTCACCGCCGCTAGCCCCTTGGTGCCCCTCTGCGCGAGCTCCCCGAAAGAGTACTCCTGGTCCATCCAGCTGGCGACCACTAAGTCCATCTCGTCGTCGTTCGGCTCCGCCTGCAGGGAGCCCGCCGGTCGCAGCCGAAGCCACATGCGGAGGATGTCCTGCCACAGGCCGTCGTACTGGGCCACGGTCTTCGGAGTCACCGAGGCCCGCTGCAGCAGCGATCCATGGCTTCGGAGCGCCGCCCGACGAGCAGCAGCAGTAGCTCCCTGCCCGCGCCTCGCAGCTCGCGCCATCTTGCGGCTCCGGGCCGCGGGTGGTGGCGGCGCCCGCTGCTCCTGGCGCGACTGGGCTGCGACAGCACTCAGGTGCCGCCCCCTCCGAAACGGGGGCCGCTCGGCAGGCGGGCCACCTCGCCGCAGGGCGTGCCGGCCGGCGGGCGCCCCGCAGAGCGCCGACGGCAGGCTCGCGGACGGCCAGCTCGGCGAGCTCGAGGCCGGCGCTGCGGCAGTCGGCCAGCTGGCTGCTGTGCCCGGCGTCCCGGACGGCCCACTGCTTGAAGCCCTCGGCAGAGTCCGCCGCGGCGCCGTCGAGCCAAACCCCGAGGGGGATGTGGCGGCGCGACGGCGCATCGGCGACGTTCCGTTCAGACGGAATCCAGCGCACCGAGGCCTGCACCGCGCCCGCCAGGCACCAGGCGGCCCATTGCCGGGCGACGCGGAGGACTCCCCCGGCTGAGGAGCGCCCCTTTTCCATAGCACACACGAGCCCCATGTTATCGCAGAGGAAGAGGATACGCTTACCGAAGGACTTCGAGTCGCGAAGTGCGTGCCTAAGAGAATGAACGAGGGCCCGACCTTCGAGGACGATGATCTTCTCGGCCCGGGCCCGCCCTCCGCTCGACACCACCTGCCACCTCCCCCCGTACAGCTCCTCCTCCACCTCCGGGACCTTCCACAAGTTACTCTCTGGGTCCTCCACCGCCACCCCCGTCGACACGACGGGCTCCACCCCCGGCGACACGACGATCTCGGCAATCGGCTCGGACTTCGCGGTGTCGGCGGTCGGCGGGTCGCTCTGCTCGAAGAGGCAGTCGCGAGGTCGCGAAGCAGCTGGTCGTCGAAATCGCCACCTCTCCCCGTACCTCCCAGCACCGCGAATTGCTCCCAGGTCGGCCTCCTTCTGGCACACGCCCCTCCCCTCCTCGCTAGCGTCGCTCGCGTAGATCCTGGGGGACCAGGTGGCCCTGAGATCAGCCCAAGCCAGGGGGATCAGGGAGGCGGCCCAGCGAAGCTCACGGCGGACAGATGGCGGCAGCTTCATCACCCGATCGAAGTACTTCCTCGAGAAGGCATACACAGAACTAAATACGGCCAAGAGCGGGCGCCTCGACATTGCAATGAACGCAAAGTGGCCAGCAATCTTCCCCACTTGTCGCCCTGAAGCGTGCCCGCGAGCAAGCAATCCCTGGATCCCAAGACGAGGCCTCCAAGCACGACGACTCTTCGGTCTCACAGCTCCACGCTCCCCGTCGAAGACCCACCCCAGCTGCTCAGACACCGAGGCGGGGAGATCAGGATCGTGCAGAGGGAGCCCCGCGCCGCTCAAGGCCTCTTGGGCCGACCTCAGGAGGGCCGCAGGCCTGCCAGGATTTACTCCAAAGGAAATGAAATTGTCAACATAGGCTGTGTAGGCCCCGTCCTGGATGGGAGGCGTCGGCATACCATCGACCACTTCGGGAACGCTCTCAAACCCCCCCTTCTGGAGCAAGATATTTCTGTGCACTCTCTGACAGAAGTCCAGCGCATGCGTCCAGCCCATAGGCAGGACGGCCAAGCACGGGCGCACCCAAGCACGACCAGGAACTGGACGCCCGCCCAGCTCTCGCACTCCAAGTTGCGCTGCCCGAAGCCGCGGGAGCGCGAAGAGGTGCCGGAGCTCCGGCGGCAGGCCCATGTTGTAAAAAGCGTCCGCTATGTCGACGCCCGCCGTCCACAGCACCTCGCCCGGCGCCAGCTCGATGGAGCTGAAGCTGCCCCCGGACGCCAAGCTGGTCTTGTCGGGCTCCCCGAACCTGAAGTTGCTGCCCCTGCAATCGATCACCAGGCGCTGGCGACCATCCTTCTTCCAAACGGTGAATAGACCGACTTCCTCAAAATCCCCCTCATCAATCCTGAACTCCAGCATGCCACCGTCCCTCATCCTCTCGACGAAGGCCAGGTAGGCCGCGGGCTGCCGCAGCACCGGGTCCAGGTAAGGGCGTGCGAAACCAGCCTCCTTCTTAAAAATCTCGGCGCTTTGAATTGGCAAAACCTTCGAAGTGATGAACCTTCGCACGATATCTGGACCGTCGTCTCCCAGCAACTGGCTCAGGGGCACAGGCGTACCGCCCACAGCTGGCAGAGACACGAGGTCGTGCGCGAAGGGGGCCACCGTGACGGGCTCGCCGTCGGAGTAGCCGGCGCCAACCTGGAGCTCCTGGAGGGCCACCTCGGTCGACAAATCTGGAGGAATGGAGCCCATCGCCGCACAGCTTTCGGCGAGATGCTCCAAGCAAAGTTGCTGCATCCTGTTGGGCTCCTGGCCTGCGCGGCGCGGCGGGTCATCCGAGCCGGCGTCCAGTTGGTTGAGCGCCACCACTAGCTCAGTCACGAGCTCGCCCTGCAGCGCCCTGTTGGCGCGGCGACGCCGCGCTGCGCGGCCGCCGCCGCCGCCGGCGGCAGCCGCCGCGAGACACCAGTCAGGGGCTGGCAAGGGCAGGAGCGACCGCTGCATGCGGTCGTCACCTCTGCCCCCCACCTCTTCTGCATCACCCCCGGGCCGAGGCAGTCCCGGGGGCGGTCCCAGCATCATGACTTGGGGGGAGGAGCGTCCCGGCCGCCCTTGTTGGCCTTCTGCTCCTCCCTCAGCTTCCTCGCGTTCTTCTTGATGCTGTGGATCCGCTCCAGCTCCTTCGACACCGAGTCGAGCAGTTCCGGGCACACCATCGAGGGAGACCTCGAGCCTCCCATGAATGCGAATGCCTCCTCCAAGGGCATCCGCATGTTGTGCTGCTGCTGCTCTGCGCTCCTGTCGTCCCAGTAGTGCTCGATGAGCTGGAGCTTACGGTAGCCGAGCTCCGCGCTCGCCAAGTTGTAGACGTCCAGGTGGTCGGCGGTGCCCATGGCCTCGATCGTTTTCGAGAGCGTCTCGTGCATGTCCACCCCGAAGTCGGTTGGGTTCAGCTTCCGCTTCGACTTCCACATCTCATGATGGAGGACGGGGCCCCCTTCCTTCACCTGGTACTTGGCACACCACTGCGCCGTCCTCGGAGGGGCCACAGCAAACCCTGGCACGGGCTCCTCGCGACACAGCAGCACCACCTCGCGCCACTCCCGAGCGTTGCCGCCTGGCTGCCCAGCTCCCGGCGGGATCTCGAGTGTGCGAGCGCCGCTCCCGCGGTACTCCTGAGTGAACCACGGGATCTCGCTGTCTCTCAGCAGCACCGCGCTGGCCCCGCCGCCGCCGGCCAACGTGAGAAGCCCGCGCCGACCCGCACGGCCCACGAGGGTCGCTCCGCCCGGCACTCCGACGGCCACCTTCGTGCCGAAAGCCACGGCGCCGTCGACGTCCTCGGCAGCCACCCAGTGCCAGCCTGGCGCGGGCTCCCCGCTCGGCAGCGGCGCGGCCGCCGCTGTGTCTGGCACCGCGGGCGCCCGACCCGCTGGAGCAGCGGCCGCCCCGGGGGCGGGGGCCACGGCGGCTGGGGCCGCGGCTGCCGGCGCCGGCGCGGCCGCGGCCGCCGGCGGGGCTGGCGGGGCCGCCCCAGGAAGCGCCAGCGCGCCTGGGTCCGCTGCCGCGGGGTGGGCCCCGGCCACGTCGACCAGGGGGGGGACCACGATCGTCGGGTCCGCCAGCGGCATGCTGCCCGCCGGCGCGCCGGCACAGTTGACCGCGGACAGCGTGAGGAGGAAGGGCCCGTCAGGCAACGGCCCGTACCCCAGCGCTGCGCCGCGGCGGAGGGCGCCCCAGACCTCGGCCGCCGTGGGGAGGCGCCGAAACCTGTAGACTCGGTTCTCCTGGACGCCCCCCGCCCTGCCGCCCTGCCCGTGTACGAAGTGGATCTCCATCACGTCCGCGTCGGGGCTCGTGGTCTCCCCGTAGTCGTCGAAATCCGGGGTCATCACGTACCCTGAGCGGAAAATGTCCAGTCGCTCATGGTACAGGGCGGGGCCTCCCACTCGATACCTGGTCAGGTGGAAACCTCCCGCCAGCGGCCCAGCCGCCATCTTCAACAAGCGGCGGCAACCGGCGTCCTGCGGAAGGCCTTCGCCTGCTCCAGCGCGAGGTGCACGAGGTCGTCGCCCGCAGGCGCGCTGTCCGCCTCCACGGACGCCGCGGCGGGCGCTGCAAGCGCCCTCGGGCGAGGCCGCCAGGCCCACGAGACGGCCGCGGCCCCGAGCACGGCGCCCAGGAGGAGCGAGAGGCCAGCCACCCAGGCCAGCTGCGACCCGGGGCACCCCGGGGCGGCGGCGGCCGCCAAAGTGCCCTCGCCGCTGGGGCACGCGCACTGCAGCGCTGGGCAGTGCAGGGCCGGACTGCACCAGCAGTCCGGGCAGTCGGCCACCGAGGCCCGGACGACGAAGGCGGTGGTCAGCGCCTGCCCCACGTCGTGGAGCAGCCTCACCAGCCCGGCCTCCATCCCCCGGCAAGGTCTCAGCGCAACAAAGAGACCTCAAATGGCCATGGAATGGCAAAGGAATGCCGCACAGATCCATGGCCCTGACATGCGGCCTCTCCTGCTGTGACGTCTGGCAATCTACAACGAAGTAGTGGGCAGGAGGGGCAGGAGAGGAGGAGGAGGAGGAGGAGGAGGAGGAGGAGGAGGAGGAGGAGGAGGAGGAGGAGGAGGAGGAGAAGGGGGAGGAAGAGGAGGAGGAGGAGGAGAAGGGGCAGGAGGAGAAGGATGAGGAGGAGGAGGAGGAGGAGCAGGAGCAGGAGGAGGAGGAGGAGGAGGACGGGGGGAGGGGGGGGGCAAAAGAGAGGGCGCAGGGCACAATGAAGACCACGCCTGCGCGACCCCTGCACGCCCGCCATCTCCGCGCAATGCGACGGCCCTGGCGTGGCCCCAGGCTGCGGCGTTGCCGCGGACGCCGACGACGAGGCCCCCGAGAACCCCTCACGAGACGAGACCCCAACCCAGACACAGCTCGGCGGCGGGCCGAAGGGGGAAGCGAGAGGGGGCCGCCATTCTCAGAGGGCGGCGGGTCGTCTCAGAAGCCCACCCTTGCCTTCTGAGAAGCTCTGTGCGTCTTCGGGGAAGGTCGGAAGCATTCTGAGCCATCTGAGACGGCTTGTCCCATCTGCCTTTCCCCCTAAGCGCGCCGCAGAACGGTGGCGGGATAGGCCGAAGGCCGCTAGATCCGCCGCCCCCTGTCGATTCATCGCAGGGGTGCCTGGCGTGCCGGATGATGGGGTTTGGTTTTGGTTCTTTTTCCAAAAGAACTCCCCCTGGGGCTTCGGCCCGTCCTGCCGGGGTCCCGGGAGATTGCCGAAAACCTGGTTGCAAACGGTTTTCCTGCCCCAGACAGCCCCAAGACGGCCTCCAAGACGGCCAAGATGCCTCCAAGACGGCCAAGATGGCCTCCAAGACGGCTCAGATGGCTCCAAGATGCCCCCAAGACAGCCCAAGATGTACCCTAGACGGCCTAAGATAGCCTCAACATGGCCCCAGACGGCCCAAGAGGCCCCCAAGAGGCCTCCAAGACGGAGAGGCCTCCAACACGCCCAAGATGGCCTCCAAGACGCCCAAGATGGCCTCCAAGACGGCCCCGAAGCGCCCCAAGAGGGCCCCAAGTCGGCCCAGAAAGGCCCCCAAGACGGCTCCCGACGGCGTCAGACGTGCGAGGAACCCACCAAGATGGCCGAAGTTGGCTCGAAGCTGGCCCAAGATGGCCCAAGAGGCCCCCAAGAGGGCCTCCAGGAAGGCCAGAAGAGGCCCAAAACATTGATTTGCCTACGGTTTTTGACGGCTTTTGACGTTTGCTTCTTTTCGGCCTTCCGACGGCCCGAGACGGTCCAAGAGCCCCCGAAGATCGCCGAAAGATCGCCCAAGAGGCCTCCAAGATGGCCCCAGAACGGCCCAAGAGGGCCCCAAGAGGCCCCCAAGACGACACATGAGGCCTTTAAGACGCCCAAGACGGGCCTCCAAGACGGCCCTGGAGCATTCCAAGAGGGCCCCAAGTCGGCCCATAGAGGCCCCCCAAACGGCTTCTGACGGCGTCAGACGGACCAGGAGCCCACCAAGACGGCCGAACATGGCCCTAAGATGGCCCAAGACGGCCCAAGAGGCCTCCAAGAGGGCCTCCAGGAAGACCCGAAAAGGCCCAAGTCATTGATTTTCCTTAGGTTCTTGAAGGATTGTGAAGGATTGTGACATTTGCTTTTTTTCTGCCTTCCGACGGCCCGAGACGGCCCAAATGCCCCCAAAGATCGCCCAAGAGGCCCAAGACACGGCCCCAAGAGGCCCCCAAGACGGCCCAAGAGGTCTCCAAGACGCTCAAGATGGCCTCCAAGACGGCCAAGAGCCCTCCAAGACGTCCTCCAAGAAGGCCCGAAAGGGTCAAAATGGCCTCCAGACGGCCAAGATGACCTTCAAGATGCCCACGTGTTCCCCGAAGGCTTTCCAAACCAATTCGGGGAACACATGGTCCGATAGCTTGGCAGGTCTGGCCTCAACGTTCGGCCACATAGGCGCTTCCAAAAAGGCAGGGGGCGGCGGTGATTCGCCGTAGGCGTCTTCGATCTGCCGCCCCCTCTTGATTTATCAAAGGGGTGCCTGGCGTGCCGGACGATATGGCTTTTGGTTTTGGTTCTCTTGCCAAAAGAACTCCCCCTGGGGCTTCGGCCCGTCCCGCCGCCCACCCGGAAAACCCACCTGTCGTCGCCTTTCTTGCCCCAAGATGGCCAAAGATGGCCTCCAAGACGGCCACGATGTCCCAGGATGGCCTCCAAGTTGCTCCAAGACGGCCAAGATGGCCTCAAAGACGGCTACGATGGCTCCAAGATGCACCCAAGACGGCCCAAGATGGCCTCAAGATGGTCTAAGACGGTCCAAAAGGCCCGCAAGAGGCCTCCAAGACGGCCCAGGAGGTCTCCAAGAGGCCCTCCAGGAGGGCCCGAAAAGGCCAAAATCATTGACTCTCCTTCGGTTTTTGAAGGATTGTGGCATTCGCGCCTTCTCGGCTTTCCGACGGCCCAAGACGGCCCAAGAGGCCCCCAAGATCGCCCAAGAGGCCCCCCAAAGGGCCCCATGACGGCCCAAGTGGCCTCCAAGACGGCCCCAAGAGGGCCCCAAGACGGCCCAAGAGGCCTCCAACACGCCCAAGATGGCATCCAAGACGCCCAAGATGGCCTCCAAGACGGCCCCGAAGCGCCCCAAGAGGGCCCCAAGTCGGCCCAGAAAGGCCCCCAAGACGGCTCCCGACGGCGTCAGACGTGCCAGGAACCCACCAAGATGGCCGAAGTTGGCTCGAAGCTGGCCCAAGACGGCCCAAGAGGCCCCCAAGAGGGCCTCCAGGAAGGCCAGAAGAGGCTCAAAACATTGATTTTCCTAAGGTTTTTGACGGATTTGACGTCTGCTTCTTTTCGGCCTTCCGACGGCCCGAGACGTCCAAGAGCCCCCGAAGATAGATCACCCAAGAGGCCTCCAAGATGGCCCCAGAACGGCCCAAGAGGGCCCCAAGACGGCCCCAAGAGGCCCCCAAGACGACACATGAGGCCTTTAAGACGCCCAAGACGGGCCTCCAAGACGGCCCTGGAGCATTCCAAGAGGGCCCCAAGTCGGCTCATAGAGGCCCCCCAAACGGCTTCTGACGGCGTCAGACGGACCAGGAGCCCACCAAGACGGCCGAACATGGCCCTAAGATGGCCCAAGACGGCCCAAGAGGCCTCCAAGAGGAGCTCCAGGAAGACCCGAAAAGGCCAAAATCATTGATTTTCCTTAGGTTCTTGAAGGATTGTGGCATCTGTTGTTTTTCTGCCTTCCGACGGCCCGAGACGGCCCAAATGCCCCCAAAGATCGCCCAAGAGGCCCAAGACACGGCCCCAAGAGGCCCCCAAGACGGCCCAAGAGGCCTCCAAGACGCTCAAGATGGCCTCATTGATTTTTTCCTTAGGTTTCTGGAGGATTTTGCATTGTTGTTTTGCTCTTTTTTTTCCCTGCCACCCGACTCGCCCGAGACGGGCCCAAATGCCCGCCGAAAGATCGCCCAAGAGGCCCAAGACACGGCCCCAATAGGCCCCCCAAGAACGGCCCAAGAGCCTCCAAGACGCTCAAGATGGCCTCAAGACTGCCGAAGAGCCTCCAAGACGTCCTCCAAGAAGGCCCGAAAGGGTCAAAATGGCCTCCAGGCGGCCAAGATGACCTTCAATATGCCCACGTGTTCCCCGAAGGCTTTCCAAAACGATTCGGGGAACACATGGTCCGATAGCTTGGCAGGTCTGGCCTCAACGTTCGGCCACATAGGCGCTTCCAAAAAGGCAGGGGGCGGCGGTGATTCGCCGTAGGCGTCTTCGATCCGCCGCGCCCCCTGTCGATTCATCGCAGGGGTGCCTGGCGTGCTGAATCCTCTCGGTCTTGGTTTTTATTCCTTTTCCAAAAGAAACTTCCCCTGGGTCCCGGAAGGATTGCCCAGACCCGGCTCCAAAGGGTTTTTCCTGCTCCAGACGGCTCCAAGACGGCCCAAGAGGGCCTCCAAGACGGCTAAGATGGCCCCAGGATGCCTCCAAGCTGGCCCAAGATGCACCCA